TTGCAACTTTACAGATCTTCTTTATGCACCAAGAGCTTGTAACACTCCAAAGAGAAAGGAAAAATTGAAATCGCATCATATGACCCCTTTAAAAATGTCTGAACCGAGCATCTACCCACTGACCCACAAAATCCCTGCATCAACAAAACAACAAAAGGAATGAAAATTATAGTTTATTCATACAAATGACTGTGTAAGGAGATTGGCTGAACTTATATTTACTTATACAGTACAACAAAATACTAATGAATATTAAGTATCCTAAAATTTGTTTACATTTAAGTATATATTTAAACCCGGCATTGAAAGAAAACCTCATTGACATGAGATTTAAAAAATCATTGGGTTTTATTTTATGTCCAAACAGAAACAGATTTGGACATAAAACCCGGCCACAAAAAAAAAAAAAAAAAGAAGCCAATCCTGTTACAGATTAAGATAAATGTGTTTATGATGTAAAATTACAGTAACATGTGCTAATAATATTTGATCGAGCAAAATCCTGGTCTGATGTTGAATTAAACTGGCAATCAGAGAGGCCTGCAATGATGTAGTCAAGTGTATCTGCACAAGAACAACCTTTACAAAGGTTTGGCTCACAAATATTGATAACCTAATTAATATTAATGAGGTATGACATCACTGTGTCACGATGTCACAACTAGTCAATCAGTAAAAAGTTCCATTGCTGCTGATGGTGATTGATGTTTTTTTCACAATCCTCCAATACTTGTTAATCCAAGATCCCAAAATCACCCTAAGGCCCTGTGTCCACCAAAGCGTTTTTCCCCGCGGCTAGCGTGTTTTTTCAGTTGTTCTCAATGGGAGCACTTTTCACACCCACACAAATCACATTCACTGTTTTAATCCAGTCCGCTTTCTAATGCCACTCCTTCAGATGAGTGGATGATTGCACACAGACCCAATCACCACTGCAGATTTACTGTTCTCATCATGTCTGACTCTCTCTGTGTGTGTTTTGACTTGTATCAGTGCATAATTAAACATCTTATCACCATTGCATGTGTGAGAAAATATGCTGAGATGTGTTGAACACCCATCTGTTATGTACGGAAATATATTTTTATATAAACTTGAATTTTCAAATTTGGAATCTGCTCTACTGGAATTGGAAATGGAAATTTTCCCTGTTTTTGTTAGAGACGAGCGCTGCGAACAGCTTCCGAGAAACTGCGGAATCGGACATCATTTTCGGCGGGCATGGTGCAGAACTCTCCCGGGACCAGAGTGAACCGTTACATCGGCCGTCTGATAGAAGCACGACAGACGGAGTCTGAGACAGCAGACCTCAACTACATTACCCTCACATACAGGAGCAGAGAGAGAGAGCAGAGAGTGAGTACACACAGTTGTCACATGGGGGCAGTTTTCACAGAGTAGGTTTGAACCTCTTAAAATAGAATGATTTTTTAGATTCTGACTCTAAACAAAAATAATATATCATAATTTTTGTGCTATAGCTGCTGGGTGGGTAAATGAGTAATCACCATAAAACCACATAGACATAAATCTGTCCCCCAGATTTTAATGTCATTTTTTTTTAAATAAATGTCTGGTTGGGGCAAGTAGTCACATGTGTTTTAAATGTTATAAATCTATCGAAATTATTTTTAATTACAATGTTTGTTGGCCAAAACAATGGTTTGGTATTTTTAAAGTAAAGTTACCTTTTACATTTTTGAAGTGCCATAAATTTGTATTTTTTTCTGTTCTGTTTTTCAAGTGTTTTACCGTTTAAATACCGCAGAAAAGTAAAAAATACAGCGTTTAATGGCAAGTTGAATTGTGTCAACTTACACCATATAGTGTGACAGCATGGCCCGCTATTAGCCAACTGTATCAAAATGAACTGTATCAAAAGCTAAGACTTTAACGTAAACTACCATTGAAAATTTTGGAGTCTGTAGGATTTTATTTTTTATTTTTTTAACGAAGTCTCTTATGCTAACCAAGCCTGCATTTATTTGAACAAAAATGCAGTAAAAAACATTGTGAATTATTATTGCAGTTTTAACAATATTACATTTTTAAGAAACATTTATTATTATCAATGTTGAAAACAGTTGTGCTGCTTCATATTTTTGTAGAAACCGTGATACATTTTTAGGATTCTTTGCTGAATGAACAGGATTTATTTGAATTAGAAATCTTTTACACTATAAATGTCTTTACTGTCACTTTTTATCTACTTGACACTCCTTTCTGAATAAAAGTATCGATTTCTTAAAAAAAAACAAAAAAAATCGTACTGACCTCAAATTTTTGAATGGTGGTGTATGGCTACGCAGAAACAGACTTGAACAAAATAAACTTAGCCTAGGAAATATTCACCGAAGTGAAAAGTGTGACAATGTGCCCCGGTGTCCATAATACAGCAGTAACTGATCCAGGGAACTGGCAGTAATGACTTGGCGAAATGTGAGAGTGATGGAGTGAAGAATTTCCTCAAGACACACACGCCGCATCAAGACACACACGCCGCATCCCCCGCATTGTTCTGTTGTGCTTCGTGACTCCCTGTCTCCTCACTTTCAACATCTTCTCTCCCCCTCATCTCTCTCGCGCTCTCCTTTCTCACTAGCTCTCTCCATTGCTCTGTTCTCTATTTCTTTGCCTATATCCAGTCCTCTCCGATCCCTCCCATCTTCGATTGATGTAAGACGTCCGCCCACCCTAACAGAATGGGGGCAACAGTAATGATTTGGGAAAATCTGTCAGACTCACGACATATATTATCTCTCTCACACACACACGCACACTCGTGCGTGCTGGAGCACAGTGGCTTTCCCCGCTCTCTCTGGGAGTATAATGACATTTCATCTGGATCTTATGATGAGGGGGATGCTGGTTTTTATACTCTAATGAAGCTTACGCAGAAAGCAGTGTGTTGCATTGATCTCCTGCAGGCTGCACTGGAATGAGACAAATACATGTTACTTGTGACACTTACAAGAGATACAACAAAGCATATGTTTACATGAATACACAGGTGTTTCTTCAACTTTGGGTACATTTATTTATTGACTTTTATCAGAATTGAACTATTTAAATGTTTTAATACTTTTTATTTATTTATTAAAAATGCCTGTAAATTTAATAGTTTTCTCATGTCCCAGGCTTTCAGTATTAAAATATAAATATGTTTTTAAAATATTATTACATTAAAGAAATTCTGATAATATAACTCGGAGTGAAATGAATATATATATTTAACAACTCATTGTTTGAAAATTATTTATTTTTTCTCAAACTGTCCCTCAAGTGTGGCATCATTTTCATCACAGCCAACAAAAAAGTGTTATTTTTTTCCAAGGAGACAACAGAGTGTTGGTGAAGAGCACAAATGAAATATAAGATGTAATGAAAACTAAGAAAATTTATTAATATCATTTGAACAGAACAGAATATTTTTCATAGTGTTTTTATTTTCAATCAAGCTGTAATTTTGTCAAATTTTGTGGAAAAAAAAATATTTGGAAATTGTATTTAATTGTGTGTGTTTAGGATGTGTAAAATGCTAGTTGCAAAATTAGCCATAGCAAGACAAAAGAGTCACCCTTTTATTAAAAAAAAAACCCTTTCCATCATTGTCAAATGGTGATTTTAAATATGGTGGAAATGACATTCGTGCAGATGGTGATGGAAAAACATGTTTTAGGATGCCCATACAGTAGCCAAACATGCCCATACAGTAGCTAAAGAAACAGCTTTACACACATACTGTAGAAAAACTGATTGCTACAACCTATCAAATTGTCTCTCTCTCTCTCTGTCACACAGTATCAGCAAGTGTATGACGATGCCTTCATCAGTGCGGTGGTTATCTCGCTTGTCCTCACTTCATTTTTTGCAGTGGTCTATTTTCTCATCTTTCCTCAGTATGTAAATCACAAACACAATACCTGACATATCAACATAACACACCTTTTTATCTTTTTTTTGCCAGGCACACTAAATTGATAATTTTACATGCTCAGGTCACTGCATCACACAACACACGTTTATAACATCCTCTCTCTTTCTCTCTCTCTTTCTCTTGCTGCAGAGGTTTTCTGGTTGTGATTCTGCTGGTTCTCTGTTTGTGTTTCCACATGGCAAGTGTGATGTACCTTCACATCACTCATGTGCAGGTAACACTGGTCTCCAGGCCGGGGACTCTCCATAGTCATAATGATTTTTATATTGTACAAACTGTATTTTCTATCCCCTACCCCTAAACCTATCCCTCATTCAAAACTTTCTGCATTTTTAGATTTTCAAAAAAGATAATTCATTCCCACTTTATATTAGGTGGCCTTAAAGGGTTAGTTCACCCAAAAATGAAAATTAGCCTGTGATTTACTCACCCTTGAGGCATCCTAGGTGTATATGACTTTATTCTTTCAGACGAATCCAATCGGAGTTATATAAAAA